AGAGCTCCTAGTTTTCTATAAATTCGAGAGATGAGTCCCTTGTCGTTGCAAATATTTTTTCCCAATCTGTGGGTTCTGTTTTGACTCTTGGAGACTTCTTTGGAAGCACATAAAAATTTAATTTTTAGAAGGGCCCATTCATCTAGTTTATCTTCTGCTGTTTGTGCATTTTGAGTTATGCTTGATAGTCTATATATGTCATATGTTAGGGCCCCTAAATTGCCTCTAATTTTTCTTTGAGGAACTCTATAGTTTTGGGTTTCACGTTAAAGTCTTTGATCCATCTGGTGTTAGTTTTTGCATATGGTGTGAGGTACAGATCTTGTTTCATTTTTATGCAAATGGATATCCAGATTTGCCAGCACCATTTGTTAAACAGACAATCTCATCCCAATTTAATGGATTTCAGCCCTTTGTCAAAGATCAGCTGACCATAGGGAGATGGATCTGTTTCTGGGTTCTCAATTCTATTCCATTTGCCTATGTGTCTGTTATTGTATCAATACCAGGCTGTTTTGACTACTGTGGCTGTATAGTACATTTTGAGATCCAGTGAGACCTCCTACTTTGTTTTTCTTCTTCAATAGTGCTTTGCTTAGCTAATATCTCTTTCCTTTCCATATAAAGTTAGTGATTGGTTTTTCCATATCCTTAAAGAAAGAATGTTGATGGGATCTGGATTGGAATTGCATTAAATGTGTAGATTGCTTTAGGTAGTATTGACATTTTCACAATGTTCAATCTTCCTACCCACGAGCATGATATATTCTTCCATTTATATAGGTCTCTTACCGTTTCTTCAAGTACTCTTTTGTACTTTTTTTTTTGTACAAGCCTTTTGTGTCCCCTGTAAGATTTATTCTCAAGTATTTTATTTTTTCAGTAGTTATTGTAAATGGTATTGATTTCCTTATTTCTTTTCCAGCAATCTCTTTGCTGGTGTTGAGGAATCCAACTGATTTTTGGATGTTGATCTTGTATCCTGCCATGATGCTAAATCTCTCAATTAGTCCCAGAAGATTTTTGACTGAGTCTCTTGGGTTCTCTAGGTATAGGATCATATCATCAGCAAATAGGGATAGTTTGACTTCTTCCTTACCATTATGGATGCCTTTAACTTCCCTTTCTTGCCTTCTGGCCCTGGCTAGGACTTCCAATACAATGTTGAATAGAAGTGATGATAGAAGGCGTCCTTGTCT